ATATCTTTCTGCATTATTAGAAAAGCCTGCTCGATCTTTATGATCATACGAAGCATTAGATCTCATGTCTTTGTTATACTGACATGGTATTCATAGGATTTATCTGCAACATTTGTTCTAGTGTCTGCAAACTGTAAGAAACTTGTAGTTCTCTTTGTTATACTTCACATGGTATTCATAGGATTTATCTGCAACATTTATCTTGTCTGCAAAACTGTAAGAAACTTGTGGTTAGTTCTCTTTGTTATCTAAAGATTCAGTCTCCGTTGTCATAAAATGCATATTTCTTTGTACATTAACCCTTTGATGTTATTATATCATAATTCAACGAGACAAACAAATGATATTTCTGCTTATACCACATCTACATTGCTTAAACACCATGGCTAACAATTGCATTTTGCAGTTGAACTCTTATTTACCCACAACAGTTTGACCTTTCTATAGTTTGCAGTTTCTGCACTAAAATAGAGGGGCACACTTTGTACATGTTATCTAAAGACTGGGTACTAATCTTTCTGAAGAGTAGTACTAATCCAAGACTTATGCTTGTTTTCTATCGGGGTCAGTTTCTAACGTGATTTATAAGAATGACCTTGGAGGTGGGTGTCCTCGTTTGCATCATGGGCAAAACTTTAAGCTTAACAACTTTTGACATTTAAGATTTGCCCATGAGACAAATGAGACTCAAGTTCAAGACCACCAATTTTGAAGGTCATTGGGGGTAATTTCCTGGTCTATCAGGAAATCGACCAGCTAATGTATAAGGCAACCTAATGCATAAAGCATCATCCAGCGTTAGCATGATCTGAAGAAGGGCCCCACCCCAAGATAATGTCAAATCAAACAGCATAGTTTAGGGGGTGGGGTGGGCGATGTACTAAAGTAAAGAGCTAAGGAGCCATGCCAAATGCTAATCCCTTTATCTATTGTTGAAATATAATAAATAATTTCAATGTTTTTTTTTGTTATAATACAGAGGAGATGGACATAAACTGTAGTAGTCAAAAGTCAAATACAAATCCTTAAATTAAAGCATGAGAAATATTTTAAGGGACTCAGACAGCAACATCCAAATTAAAGATGCTTGTTATTGGACTCATATACACTGACATTTCAATTGCTTAAATTAATTTTGAAATGGAAATCATTATAATGACCAATCATAGCAAAATTCAAATTGCCTATGACATACCGATAAGCACTTGTCTTTTTTTCTTCTTCTTTCTTTTGAGAAAATACAGAAGTCAATATAGTCATCATGGGCATGATTGCATATATTTTTGTACCCTTTTTCTAAATTTTAGCAGTTGTTACCAATTAGTGCGTATGGATGTTCTAAATTAGGGTCGGCAAAATTAGCCCACGAAAAATATATCTCGCCCAATTTGTTTGAATTTGGAAGGGTTATTGATCGATCTATATATTAATTCAATTCAATTTTATTCATTCACTTTTGCACATCTAAAAGTGTAATTGATATGCAACTCAAATTGATCTATGAAAAAAATTGTCAATTTCATTTTTTAGGAAATCATTTTCAACTTGACATTTTATATATAATCATAATAAACAAAATAATTATTTTAATTTACTTTAAAAAAATAAAAATTAAATAAGAGTTGAGCAATTTGTGCTATGACTCATTATGTAGCTCATATTGACCCAACTCATTACATCTCAAGTAATCAGAAAACAACCAACATGGGTTGTGGTGCACTGGTGGGAGTGTTTCACCCTTAACCAAATGTCTCAGGTTCGAGCCCTAAGAATGGAGAAAATCATGTTGGAAGCGCCACCCCCGAATGGGCCCCGCAGAGCGCGATTCGAATTTAGTCAGAGCTCTAATGTAGACTCCGGACACCGGGTGGGAAACCAAAAAAAATAAAAAATCAGAAAACAATTTAGTACTAACCCGCTCATTTATTGACTCTGTTCATCTTAACCCTCTTAAATTCAATTTAACTTGCACATTTCATACTCATGTCCAAAATATTTTTAGATACCCCCAGAGTCCATCATTAAGGCTCTTACTACTGAATTGTTTGACCAATTCAGGTTAAGTTGTTCATCTTGTACTAATAATTCCATGGAAATTGATGGCAAAACACTTCAACAACATTGATCCTATAAATTATTAGTAGTTTAATAGCAGTATTTAATCAACTTTTCAAGAAGGCGTCAAGCCTTGCTTTAATTTTGTATTTTTCTATATTGAAATTATGTAAGAGTGATGTGTCTCTTGTTTTAATTAATTAAAGTTTGGTAAGTTTGAACGCATATATGAAAGTAACGTTGTTTAATTAAAGAAAGTGAATTATTGTCACATATCACAGTAAAAATTTAACGTATAAATATTTTAATATATAAATGATACGAGTAGTTTATATTCATGATAAGTATATCTACCAAAAGTCCAAAACATTAGAAATCATATCTTCGATTTTAGTTGATTGAATGAACTGAATTCTTATTTAATACGATAAATTTAAGATTATAAATTAAATAATATATTAATACTCATATTATAATAGTTAAATCCACAAAATTTAAATATTATATCTGATTAAATTAAGATACTTAAATTGTAGAAAAAATTACCTAAATACATAACTTATCTTATCATATTTTTATAAAAAAATTCTACTATTTGAAAAAATTACAAAAATATCTACTCTCTGCTAGTCTCGGATACATCACCGCGATATATCGGGACGTTGAGTGATGTCTTCGAAACCAAGACGTGATGTATCGGGACGTTGAGCGATGTATCCGAAATCGAGACGTGATGTATCGGGATGTTGAGCGATGTATCTAAAATTGAGACGCGATGTATCGAAATGCTTTGGGATGTATCCGAATTCCATCAAATTTAAGATATTTTTGTAGTTTGGAAAAAAATAGTGATAAGATGTAATTAGTGTTCAACACTATGAATTTGTGTAAAATTCGGTAAATTAAAAGAGCAACTTTCACATATAGCAAACATAAAAATCATATTTGTATGTTATAGTTATAGTTTGCATAATTGCGGTCCATAGCAAATTTTATGTTTGCTATAGAGCTTTTAATTTGTATAATTCGCTAGATACATCTAATTTTATACAAATTGTTCAGTTTTGTAAAATTCATTTATACATTGTAATTTGTATAATAAGATTTGTATTTGTATAATTATAAGAGTGTAGGACAAAAATATATGTATTTGTATTTGTATATACACTTTTCTCTCGTTTTATACAAACACAAACGAATTTTATATATTTGTATACCGAACCAATTGACAAAAAAATGAAATGTTTACTGCGAATTACAAATAAAACAAATTATAGCTATAACATTTAATTTGAATTAATAATTTGTTATTTCATACAATTTTCCCAAATTAAAATGGACCAAACACATATGGGCCAGGATATCGAGTCAGGATTTGAGTCAACGCCTAACCGTGACAAAGTGAGGACTGAGGATCTTTTGGTCATTTCATACGAGCCTTTGCAGGCCTTATCGTGGTAATACGGTAGTTTGGCAATAACTACAGGGACAAATAAGGAAATACACTACTTTCGTTAGACCACTATCAGAAAAGGACAAACCGGCAAATATAGAAAAAGTCCCGCCCGCCAAGCAATATCCGAAAAGTTGTCAGGTTTAATTAAAACACCCCTCGAACTTATCTTTTCTAAAATTCATGGTCCCATAATTTTTGAATATGACAAGAAACAGCATATGTTTTCTTTTCCTCGTATAGTTTGAGGACATGGAGTTAACTTTGCGTTGAAGACTTGAATTCAAATCCTATTTTTAGTCATCTCTATCTTTCTTTCATAATTATAGACTTTTTCTTAGACATATTGGTTGTAAAATGTGTTGGGTGGATCGAATTTGAACGAATTAAAATGAATTGAGTTTATAAATTGATTGGTTATTTGGTTAGAAGCCCATCTAATCTTTACCTAGTTTTAACTTCTTTGTTATAGTATTATATTTTATTTAATTACCCAATTCAATTTATATCTCGCTCAGATAGATCCAATTGTTAGATGGACTGAATTGAATAGTCAATTAGATTGTAGATGTTACAAAGTTTTTTTTTTATGGAAGTCGAGCCCCCTCTGTGACGTGGTCTTAGACTGATTAATCGTGATGAACCAAGAATTAATATAAATAGACGAATTATTAATCTGCACAAATTAAACTTAGATGGACTTGCCAAATAATATTACCATGGAGGAGGGG